CCCTCCTTTAGCTTCGGTTTTCGTTCCGCGCAGCATGCTTTTATGTGCGTGCACTCATGCGGATCGCGCAGCGGGCTGACCTTGCGCACCTTTGAATCCCTTGTCATCGACATTTGCTGTCTTTCTGAAATACGATTACGACACTGCAGTACTGTAGTGGAGTTGAGACCTCCCACTGACCGCGGAGTCATGTTTCACCTACCTCTATCTGTGGACACACAGGCAGCTGTGGCAAACTTGGATGGCGTTTTTGTAGCGCTAAGCAGCCGACTCGAAGTCGCACTGCTGGACTGGTTTCCGGTTAATAGCCAACTGTGTGTAATTCTACTTCGGGTTGCATCCAGAATAAACGAATATTATGAGGAGAGACGCAACTTGTTTGTGGTCTCAGCATACACTCCCACTGAGTGCCGTCCCGACTAGGTCAACGACGAGTTCTACCGTGAACTTCATCAGCTCTTGGGCAAAGCTTGCAAATCCGATATTGTTGTCTTTGCTGGGAATCTCAACGTACGGTTCGATCGCCTATTGTCATGCGAACCTCAACTCGTTGGTCACAATGCTCTCAATGAGAGCCGCTAGGATAATGAAAAGAGAATACTCGCATTGTGCGAAGACAAACGTGTATTGCTGTCGAGCATCAGCCCTCGGCATTCGAGGAGACGTTCCGTTACTTGACGACCATGTTCTGCGTCCCGATCTTGGTCGTAGATTGATCACCTCGCAATCAGTTTCAGAAGGCATGGTAGTGCAAATATCTACATGAGTTTCGGAGGGTCCTCAAAAACGAAAAACTGCAAGATTGACAAAAATAAATTAGCTACTCTCTCGGTACAGCAGAGTTATCATACTTCCTTTTTCGATGCACTCAGTTATGACCCATCGCAAGACATTGATGTATACTGCACTTTCATGCAGAGCACTATGATCACTTCCGGGCAGTTACTCTGTGGTCTTACTCAGCACCCTATGGAAGCCTGGATCTCCACGCGCTTCTTGGATCTACTTGGTCGCGCAGGAATATCCCTGCGGAGTTCAACCATAATTAAGTGCAGCTCAAACGTGGCCTACGCAGAGATCGTGAAGTCTGGTGGTCTCAGCGCGTTTCGGAAACGGTGGCCGCTGCCCTGTCTGCCAATACTTTTAAACTGTTTCAGCTCGTTCGATCAACTGGCCACAAAAATCTTGATGTCAGCGAAAATATTTGTGAAGCGGTTGGTTCGCCCATTGTCAACCTACAGAGATATTTGGACCGATGGGCCGAACATCTTCATTCCCAGTTCAGTTGGTCCTCATAGTCCATTTGTATGCCCTGAGAACCCAGCCGGTCGCCCTGGATCATCACACTTAATCCGCCCAGTGATGCAGAAGTTTGACTTGCGATTCGACATCTGAGACGATTTAAGTCTGCTGGCTCCGACGAACTTCCTCGGGAGCTGATCAGGTATGGAGGCGCAGTTATCATCAGCCAGTTAACCTGGTTGTTCTACAAAGGCTGGCATGAAGCAAAGGTGTCTTCTTCCTCGGGCGAGTCATTTATTGTCCGATTGTTAAGAAGGGTGTTCGCAATTCTCGCACCAATCACCAAGGAATTAATCTCATTTCGGTTGCTTCTAAGGGTTTGCATCCATTCTACCCCGTAAAATTTCCCCGATTCGTGAATCGAAGTACCGGGAAGAGCAAGCTGACCTCCGTCCTGCCCGTGGGTACGTGGACCAGATATTCACGCTCCGCCAAACCATCCAACACCGCCACACCTATCGTCGTTGCATTCTTAGACATTCGTGATACATTCGATTCGATTGATCGATCTGCGCTGTGGCGTTGCTTGCTAAGGAACGGGATCCCAGAAAATACACAACCATCCTATGTACACTCTAGCTTTACATCTCCGGCAGAGTGAGGGTCTGTGGCAAACGTTCGTCGTCATTTGCTGTCAGTAGCGATGTCCTTCTCGCTCTCTCTCTTCAATTTTGCGATTGAAGGTGTCCTGTCGAGAGCTTTAGAAAGTTGTCAAAATTGTCGGCGACAAGTACTGCTGGGCAAGCGAGCGACGGACTTTGATTATGCCTTTGACATGCCTTACTTAGTGGCGGCTCGCAACGTATGCAAAGCGTTCTAAACCGTTTGTCTATTCAGGCATCGGTATGTGCTTCGCCTCATTGAAATATAAAGTGCTGCTCCAGGATTTGTACTCGCCCGTTCCTGTGCTCACTCTTGAACGCACACAGTTTGGATAAGTGGATAGCTTTGTCTAGCTGGGTAGCTGCGTGTCTGCTGGTGGCTCTGTTGTGAAGGAAGTTTCTCTTCGCATTACCAAGGTTGGGCCGGCCTTCGCAATCAGAAGCACATGTGCCGCCATCGGGATGTCTCTCTGTTGTTAAAGGGTTGCGTGTACAGTGACACTGTGCTGGCGGTGTTGCTATATGGAATCGAGTCGTGGCCAGTTCTCGTGGATAACATGCGCCGACTCTCGACTTTTAACAATGTGTGCCTGAGGATGCTTGTTCGTGTGTGTTGGCAGCAACGTATTTCCAATAGTGAAGTCGGACCTCGTGCCTTTAGGGACGCGAGTATGTCCCTCAAAAATTTGGTTTTGCTGCGTCAGCTAAGATGACTCGGTCACGTCTTGCGTATGTCAGCTGAGCGTTTGCCCTATTGCGCACTTTCCGCTTGTGCATGGCTTGGCTGAAAGAGAGTGCGGGGTGGTCAGCCGTCCACTTGACGTCAGCATGTGAAATTGTTGAATCTACGTCTTGCTGTCGTTGGATCTACACGCCTGCCTGATTGGAGACCGAAGGACGAGGAGCGCCGATGGCTGGAAACGATTCACGGTATGACGCGTAGTCGAAACCGATGGAAGATTTGCGTGCATACTTGTTTGGATTCAGATAAATGCTTAACCATTGAAAAAGAAAAAAAGAAAGCTGGCGTGTGAAAAGTAACAAAAACAGCTACATTCTACTTACGGCACGATAGCTGTAGTCTGCTGCTCACCTTCAGCTAATGCGCCAGGATGCTGGTGTGGTCATTAAGCCTGTATTCATCTTATGATTTCTATGGTTTTGTTTGGTTCTACGTTAGTTCGTTTGATTGTTGATGATGGTTGCTGACATCCGGTTCCAGAGTGGGCTGTCACTGTAGCTGCCATAAGACAGCCTCAAGATGTCTGTGCCTACAGAAGGCCATGGGTTGTTTGCGCTGCACCACCAACAGCTCCGTCCACACACCACATATCATCCAGTGTAAACCGAAGAAGTAAGATCGGGTGGCATGCGAATGGGAGCCACGTTTGACCAAAGGAGCCGGCCCACACTCCTTCATAGGTAAACACAAGCACGCTGTATTTGGGAATCAAGCCCACACAAGGCGGTGGCTGGACCGTAGTCTGCTGCACACTGATTACATGGAACCACTCTTTGACCCCACGCGGCCACAAGAACCGTTCGCCACTTCCCCTCCATCAACGACCAACTGTCTCCTGCAGCGTGTGTGGACAAGGTAATAAATAATAGACAGGTAGGCAACTTATCAACATGCATATCAAGCGCAGCCACACCAGGGATGTCAAGCCAAGGCTAATCACATGAATTGAACTGTCGAATAAATCAGCTCGAATACATCGTACAGATATGCCGCTAAATTAGCCTATGAAATTAATGGAATACCAAGCTAGTCATGATAGATTCAGGATAGCAGTAGAAGGGATCAATACACTACGTAAGAAGGGGAAAAAAACGCAGTGAAATGTGCGATTAAATGGATTATTCATGTGCACATTAAATTGAGGTAAGAAAGCAACAATTGGACGAGGTACTAAACCGATCACCTAAAATAAAGAAACAGCATGCCTGCATGCGGTTTGTGAATCGCAAGCAGCGTACCTACCAACGCTGGGGTCTGCTTTACTTCTCAGCAGTTCTCCTTATATATATATATATATATATATATATATATATATATATATATATATATATATATATATATATATATATATATATATTTCCCGCTCAACCGCCTCGCCAGTCAGGTCGTGGAGCCGAATTTGGCGGAAAAGCAATATGGCTTCCTCTCGGGTCGCAGCATTAGGCAACTAGCAGCGCAATGATATCTGCAGCCTTGCGTCCTCGGCCAACCATCAATACCAACAAAGGAAGCTCATAACGGATTCAGAATTGTGTGCCGTTTCCGGAGGCGAAGCATTGAAGTCTACTGCCGTGAGACAGGATACCTGCAAATTTTGCGCCACGCGACATCCGAGCAGCCGCCAACAGTGTCCGGCGTGGGAGCGAAAATGCGCCAGATGTGGAAAATGAAACCACTTTGCTTGTTGCTGCGAAGCAATCAATGTGAGTGCGTTCGTTCGTTATAAGCCCCCCGCAGATGCAGAACATTCAATTGGCAAAGTGTCTCGGAGGGTACCGCAAAAATGTGTCTACGCAAGTCTTTTGATCGAAGGCAAAGCCGTACGATTCCAATTAGACACAGGTGCTACTGTCAACATTCTACCAAGGAAGCACTGTCCCGGAGTGTGCATTCGATCCGATCAAGATTGCTGCATATGTGGAATGGTTCCAGACTTCATCCGAAGGGCTCAGCTACAATCGGTGTTTAACCCAAGAGACGGAGCCTCACATCGACTGGAGTTTGTGATCGTGGAGGAGGAGCTCACGCCGATTCTCGGCATTGATTCGATCCAGTCTCTCGGTTTTGTTGTTTTTAATCATGATCGTTTTGTGCATGTTTGCCAGGGAGAAACCGATATTAGTGACCAGTATCCGTCTGTGTTTAGCCCAGGTTTGGGAAAGTTTGAGGGAACCGCTCACTTGTCCTTAGATCCTTTGATACGACCGACAGCGCTACCGGCTAGGAGAGTTCCATTTGCACTGCGTGACAGGTTCTCCGCTGAATTGAGCAAATTAGTGAGAGGGTGTGATTGCCAAAGTCGACGAGCCAACCGACTGGGTTAGTCAGGTCGCAATCATTACGAAGAAGATGGGCGAACTGCGTGTGTGTATTGACCCAAAACCGTTGAATGAGGCCTTGCGTAGAGAGCATTATGCGCTACCTACCTTAGAAGACATTTTGCCGCGTTTGGCCAAAGCTAAGTGTTTCACGAAGGTAGACCTCTCTTCGGCATTCTGGCACGTGGTTCTAGATGATGAATCCAGTTTCCTTACTACCTTTGCAACACCGTTCGGGCGTTATCGTTGGCTGCGTTTACCGTTTGGCTTGAAGGTGTCGAGTGAAATTTTTCAAAAGCGATTGGTGCAAGCGGTAGACGATTTAGATGGTGTAACATGCGTGGCAGACGATGTTTTGATCTATGGCTCGACAGAAGAAGAGCATGACGCTAATCTCCACCGTTTCTTACAGCGTTGTGTGCAAAAGAACATCAAGCTTAAACGTGAAAAAATTGAACTTCGGAAAGACGAGGTGATTTTCCATGGGCATTTGCTAACAACACAAGGGGTCAGGGTCGATCCAGGAAAAATTAAGGCAATTCGAGAGATGCCGCCTCCTAATGACGTGAAGGGAATCCATCGCTTAAACGGTATGGTGAATTACTTGAGCCGTTTTATGCCAAGACTCGCTGATATCATGACGCCGATCAGGAAGTTAACTCACAAAGGAGTAAAGTGGAGTTGGGGAAAAGAACAGGAAACCGCATTCGAAACTATTAAGCACCTCATCAGCAACGCGCCTGTACTCGGGTATTACGATCCAGCGCAGCCTTTGGAGGTACAGTGTGACAGTAGCCAAGACGGAATAGGTGCTGTTCTCTTACAGAATGGAAAACCTTTGGATTTCCGCAGTCGAGCACTCACCGTGACCGAGCAGCGCTATGCGCAGATTGAGGAGATGCTTGCGGTAGTCTATGCCATGGAGCGTTTCAACGATTATACTTTCGGAAGAAAGACAACGTTGTATACCGACCACAAACCGCTTGTGTCAATAGCCAGGAAACCGCTGCACGTCGTTCCTCGTCGCCTTCAGCGTATGCTTATCCGGCTTCAAAAGTACGACGTGGATATTGTGTATACGCCTGGTGCACAGATGTTCATCGCGGATACGCTGTCAAGAGCTCATCTGCCGGTACCCGAGCATAATCCGGAAGAGGTCGAAGCAGTAAACTTAGTACAGCACCTGGCAGTGACAGAAGATCGCCTAAAGGAAATAAGGCGCCACACAGAGGAAGATGCAACGCTTTCAGCTTTGCGAGACGTTATTCTAAATGGGTGGCCAGAGACAAAGAAGCAGCTACCGAAGGAACTAACACCCTACTTCAATTTTCGGGATGAACTCTCTGTCTATGATGGTTTGCTGTTCAAGGGAAGCCGTATTCTGATTCCGTCATCGCTCCGAGGAGAAATGCTGAAATACGTTCATCGCGCTCACCTTGGTGCCAACTATACCATTAACCGAGCAAGAGAATTGATCTTTTGGCCAGGAATGACGGGTCAAATAAAAGATCATGTATCGAATTGTGAGGCGTGCCGTTCACACGAAATCCGGCAGACGAGGGAACCAATGATGCTGCATGATGTCCCTGATCGACCGTGGCAGAAGGTGGCGGTGGATTTATTCAGTGATAACGGGAAAGATTACTTACTCACGGTGGATTACTATAGTGATTATTTTGAAATCGATCTACTCACCACTACGACCACAGAGGCAGTAATCAACAAGCTCAGATGTCAGTTCGCGCGGCACGGTATACCGGAGGAGCTGGTCTCCGACAATGGGCCCCAGTTTACCAGCGGTGCGTTCCAGGCGTTCGCAACCAAGTGGGAATTCGTGCACCAGCAAACCAGCCCATATCACAGTCAATCGAATGGAAAGGCGGAGTCGGCAGTGAAGCAGGCCAAGCGACTGTTATCAAAGGCTAGAGCAACTGGCGAGGACCCGTACCTCATGCTACTGGAGAATCGCAACACTCCTTCAACGAATATCGGTTTGAGCCCAGTGCAGCGCCTATACAGCCGAAGGACTAGAACTCTGATACCGGCACCTGCCACACTTTTGCGCCCAGTTTCGCCACAGCACGAACGATTACAGAACAATCTGAGACGACGAATGACCACTCAGAAACGGTACTATGACCGCGGTGCACGGGTACTACCTGAGCTAACAGTGGGGGAGGAAGTGTGGGTTCAACCATTACCCGATAGTCAAGAGCGGTGGAAGAAAGGTGTGGTGACTGCGAGGGTCGGTGCCAGGTCATACGAAATAAACGTTGGAGGGAAAACGTTCAGAAGAAATCGAGTGCATTTGAGACGACACCGGAGACAACAATGTGGATTGGGAGTGGAGTGGCAGATGGCGTGGGGCAAGGAGACCACGGCCGCAGATACAGCGAAGACGACGCGGAGTGGCAAGGTGTACGGGGTGGATAGCAATATGGAGGCGCAAGAACACGAAAAAAGGGAGGATGTGATGGTAGTATCAGATCAGAGTGAGCAGATGGACCAACCGAGCGAGCCAGACAGCCAATGGGAGGCGGACGTGACGGATTCGATTACTGGACTCGGATTGGCCGATATTCGTGTGAGTGATTCACCGTTTGTTTAACTGAAGCAAAGGAGGAACCTCATCGACTCAGAAGGGTCGTTAGTTATGGACTTGAACCTGCAATTTATATCGAGGAGTTTGGCTTGCTAAACATGCTGTAATTTTCGCTGAGCTGTCTTTGCCGAATAAACGCTTGTCCCTGAAGGACTGAGTTCTGCAACGATGACCAGGATCTGCAAACCTATACTCAAAAAAGAACCTCGGTGTGCTGGTTTAGGTAGATCTCGGCCGCTCGGAACAGTCCGAAAAAGCCTCAAATATGTGGATCCAAAACGTTAGACTTCTCCAGAATGCTTTCGGACACTACGGACCGTCCTTTTTCCCGCCAACTACTTCCGGCTTGCATACGTTCTCATGAAGAACATGCAATTCTAGCATGGCGCCCATGGCTAAAGCAGAATCTCACCGCGTTTGAGATTCCGCAACGTTAGGCACCCAAAAATGTCAATTAGCTGCACCAGTTGTCATACGAACAGCGCCTCAAAATTCTAGGCGCTGTTCGTTGGAGCCTATCAGCGTTTGAGTGTTAACCTAATCATCGTTTGCCACATTCTGAACAACCCTAATAACCTATGCCATCACCTGCCTAAGCTGTCACAAAAGGAAACTGATAGGTCATCATCTCAATTTGGTAGAACAGTGCAGTCGATTGGTGTGTCGAATAAACTCCTACACGTCGCGTGTTTGCCTAACACGGAACACCTTCTCAGATGCTGTTATTTCAGCTCCCACATTAGCCGTGTTAAAAGCTCGCGTCGACGATGCATTGGTCATACTGCATCATGTTACGTAACCCAAAGAACCTCCACAGACTGCAGCAAAACGAAAACAAAGCAGCGTGCCTCCAATTTGTCTGAAAACCACAGACGATGACCCTGGATAATACATAAAACTAAGTGTCTACTGCTCAGACGGGGAACACTGCAACCGCCAAGTTGGCAGTTTGTGGTTCTTCACTATTTTCTGTTGCTATTTCTACTCACCTCTAACAGATCATCTTGCGGTACATGCCAAGCTTCGGTTTTCTCTCCGCAATATGCCATTGATCATTGACTCGTTAAAGGCGGTGTATAGACACGCTGCAAACGCTGGTACAGGCTAATTCGGGTGCTGCCTGGACAAGTACTGCATACTAATGTACAGCTGACGAAAGCACTTACGGTGTCTCCTGAATAACTGTTCAGAAATCGACTGAGCAACGCTGCATGGGCTGTAACAACAGGAGATGAAGATGCGTCTTGCAAACACACCGACACTGCATGAGACGCATAGAAAAATTACTCAGCCGCGAAACGGTAATTGTGCTGAAGCTGACGGTATACCGCCAGCAATGTTGAAACGCGGCGGTCCCGCGTTGGTAACTTCGTTAAACCACATGGTGTAACGCGTGGGTTTGAAGCAATATCCGAAAACTTGAACGGTGCCCTCGTACTACCACCGTACAATGGCAGAGGGAGCAAGCAATGCACCACGAATTATTGTGGTGTCAATTTTCTGAGTTGGGTAGTGATAGCGACTGCACGGATCCTGCTCAAACGCCTCACACTCAACTCGCTGAATCGCACTTAGGGAAAGAGCAATGAGGATTCCGTTCTGGCCGCAACATCATATATATGGCGTTCGTGGCTCTCCTATCTCAGAGGCACTGCCAGGAGCAACATCAGCTGTTGTACTCGCAATATGTAGACACTTCGCTTGACTTGGTGAGCAGCATGACATTGTGGCTGATGTTGGGTAATTTCGGTTTGTAAGTCTGACAAATCGGCCCGTACTTTGCTTCCGTTCTCCTTAGAACACAGTATTCTGCTCGCAACGTATGAGCGCAGAACAGTAACATGCGAACGGCAGCATGAAAAAGGTATTATATCTGGCATGAAACACAACGTTTTGCACAGTTTAAAGCATTCCAGTCAATGGTTACTTGGTAAGCGTTGACGCTGGTGATATCGACCGGGCAATAGGAAGTAAGTGAACTTGGCTCGCGCAGATGCCACGTTCCTCTTCCCGTTATCTAGAGGTACCCCAGCTAATCTGGTATTGACCGACTAGTCGGCATACTTGGCCTGAGAGGCGACATTGCGGAGTCTCCGGTTGGTTAGCAGCCTGCACGTCATCCAACTGAGTGAGCGAATTTTCGGTTTGTCAACTGACGGAAGCGAAAGAGGGCGGAAACGGACATAGTTTTCGTGCCGAATGACTACTCTGCCATCTGGTAGAGCCACTTCCGCATTTTGACCCGCAACTTCGCGGGTTGTCAGCTTGTTTCGTTAAGCGACTTGACGCAAGCCGGTTTGTGATAACAGAGCTGCCAATCGTCCGCACCTCGATCGTACACGGCTTCAAGTTTATCTTGTTTGGTCTCGACATGTAATCGCTAATGGGTAGATAGAAAGTGCAGCGGCAGCCTTACTCTCTGCCCGAACATTAGTTAGCAGGGTCTGTTATCAGTCAATTCGTTCGGTGTGGAGTGATATCCAACAAAGCAAGTTGTCTAACTTTGTGCACAATAGAGCCGGCATTTGTCTTCATTACCCGTTCTTGAGTGTTTGGACCGCAGGTTCGGCTAAACCATTAGAAGCTGGGTGGTAAGTGGCTGACTCCACTTGAGGTATGTCGTTGGTATGAAGAAAATCCTCAAATTATTGACTGGTAAACATGGTACCATTGTCTGTCACCAGCGGGTGTGGTATACTGATGGCTATAAAGCATGTTCGCATGCACCAAATCGTAGTCGCTAGCGTGGTTCTTGTTAGCGGAAAAACCTCGATCCATTTCGAGTAGCATCGATTGAGGGAAGGAACATCTTTTCGTACAGCAGGCTGAAGAAGTCAGTTTGTGCGTGCCCCCATGGTTTACTGGGTCATTGCCATGGGCGAAATGGTATCGGGAGGGTGCGTCTTTGTGTGCTTTGATAGGCGTCGCAGTGCCGGCTTAAGTGCTCGACGTCTCTGGGCCTCCATGCATAGGATCACGCAAGTCCCTTCATCCTCATGTTTCCCGGGTACGTTTCTATTACGTAGTAATGAGGTCAAGAAAAGTAAGCTCCCAGACCGTAGTCAGGTATGATAAGACAAGAGTACAAGCAGTGTAGCGGGCCAAAACTCACACTCACGAATCCCATGACACGCGAGTTAAAGCATGACGCGGAGTTATTGATTGGTCATTGGGAGGCAAACCAATAAGAACGCGTTGTAAGTGAGCTAAACTAATCAATGCCACCGAAGGACGTAACACCCTTCCTCTCTTGGAGAAGGTCGTAATCCGGGAACGAAACGTTCGACAGGTTTAGGTACATGCTGAGGCCTGCGAACTGGTGGGCAGTTTGGTGTTTGCGCCGTATCCTGAGTGTTTTGTTCCACCGTCAGCTGGAATGGGCCAGAATTATTTTTCACCCTGTCTCGGGTTTCCACACAACGAGGACCCACGTGATCTCAACTCGCGATCATTGCACTCTAGGTTAGCCTGGGTACCGTCGGTTGTGACCACGGTTGCGGACTACCATGAACGTTCGTGGGGAAGTCGTGTATACACGAGATCCCTGGTTGAAAAACGACATCCTGATCCTAGTCTTTTCTGTTTCGCTTCTATTTGCACCCGACGATTACGAACTAATAGGGGTAGTCTAGTACATAGTGTTCTACCGAACAGCAATCCTGCAGGCGATTTGCCCGTGACTTCTTTCGCAGTTATTCTGTAGGCAAAAGGTAATCCACATTATCGCGTTTTATAGTCCCTGATAACTGTTTTAGCAGGCCTATTTTTACCGGCCGCATCGTCCTTCCGGTTAATCCTTTTTGACTCAGGATGATATGGAGCTGTACGCACGTGTTGAATGCTAATGCTCTGTATGAAGCCCTCAAACGACTTGCTGATAAAATAAGACCCACTATATGTGCAAACAGTTCCAGTTATTCCGAAAACTGCAAACGATGATCGCATTTTGTAATGGTTTTTCATCGAGGAGCTGAGACACTGCATAAACATCGATCCATTTTGAATAGGCATCGACTATCAATAAGAAAATTGTTCCGTTCTAAGGACCAAAATAGTCTGCACGGATAGGCTGCCATGGCTTTTAAGGCCAACGCCAAGGGGGTGTTGAAGCTGGAGATTATTTCGTTTGATATTGTCGGCAGAGCTCACATGCTTTCAGGTGAATTTCAATTTTCGAATCTAAGCGGACCACCAGCAATAGCCGCGTGCAACAACAACATCTTGATGTCCATTCTGAAGTTCATTTACAATGAAAGAGCGGGCCTTCAACGGTGGAACCAAAATAAGCAACCGTCGTGTATATCCATTTCATTTATGCGAAGCCCAAAAGGTTTCAAATCAGCCGGAATTCTACTAGACAAGCCCAGTTTCGTGAAACGTATCACGGAAGCTTGTTTGGGATCATAGTCGGTCCATCGACTTAATATATCCTTTGTCAACGTGGTAGTGTCGAGGTACTGGATCAAATGGACTAACTACAAAGGCCCTGCGGGAGTCGGGTGCGGTAACCGACTCAGGGCATCCGTTGCACGATTGTTAGAGCCTATGATGTGAGAAATTTTGTATTCATACGCACTCAGGAGTTATGCTAATCGTTGCATTCTAGGTGAAAACCTCTGTTCGATTCCCCTAGATACAATTGATAATGGAACAATGGTTTATGACGAGTATAAAAGCGAACACTTGACATGTCAAGTAGGCTGGTGAGGGTAAAAACCACAGAGTAATAAAACCGTGTCAGTAAAAACGTATGAAATACATGACTCACCAAGGGGTTTGGAGTTGCACCGGCTATATCACTTAATGTGTCATAGTAACACCAAGGCGATTTTTTGGAATGGGATAACTTAGGATATCAAGTACATTTACCGGGAGGGCTTTTCAAGGCTGACACTCGGAGGGTGAAGAATTTCCGTCGATATTCCAGTTGGCTGTACTGCGTTGCCAGCTTAAGCTGATGACTTCATAAAGGTGTGTTTTGACTGTGTTTCAAGAGCGAA